CCCCCCTGTGTCATCAAGGTTCCACTTTGCATTTCATCCCCCCATCCCTTAGTGAGAATCTCAGCTGCCCTCTTATGGGTGTCTGTTGGTGAGTATCTCTCATTGTGTGGGTTATGGTTTGCAGTATGTCATTTTGTGCCTGCAGTAACACTTCTGCCCATTGTGTGGTGCTCTCCGGCATCGCCACGCTAAAAAAAAGAAAAAAGAACTTGTAATTTCCTCACATTTCCACTCTGACAGGTCAAGAATGGCAAATTGGCTGCGTAGGCTGCATTTGGTCAGAGGCGTCATTTTCTTTAAAAGAAGTTATACTAGAAACGAATCAATTTTTAGTGCTGCAGGGTGTCTAAAACCACCACATTCCTTCCCGTTGCAGGCCTCCTCTCCTCCTGCATCAGGCCTGATTGTAAGAGTTTACTCTCTAACCATTTACTCTCTAACACCCCCTCCACCCACCAAGGCCTGCTGACTACAAGGGGTTGCCAACTAGACAAATAAAAATGGAAAATGTCCTTGTATTGGCAGCTTAAAATCTATCAAATCAAATGAGTTAAAATACGCTGTCAGGGATCCAGCTACACAGTTCTCTCATTTGTGTCCATGACAGAGAGGCTTTGTAACGATGTGGGTAACCTCCTGAGTGAGTCTTAGGCAGTGCAAGACTGACAGTAATCTAACCTAATAATCACCTGGCACTTTGCCCACAGGCCTGTTTATGTTGGGCTTGTAGGGTTAATGCACCTAACACAGAAGACACACTCACACACACAGGCTTTATTGTGTGCTCGAAGCACTTAACACAATGGTCACTTAACAAGCTAACACGGCTTTTTGCATGTGGCATAGTGAACACAGCTCCTTGAATGCACTGACTCACACGCTATAGGCTGTGAGCGAGTCACGAAGACACAACGACACGCCTAACCTGACCTCCACACACATTTTACTGCAATCCCTGCATTGATGATTTGCACAGATTATCTGAAATGTGTTTGAAAGATGGGTGAGTCATCAAGAGCTTCTGTCAAGTCTTTTGTTTTCTTTGAAATTGTATGTTTTTTCTGACTGTCCGACCCTCCTGCACCTTTAGGTCATCCGTAAAGGCTGGTTGACCATCAACAACATCAGCATCATGAAGGGAGGAGCCAAGGAGTACTGGTTTGTGCTGACTGCAGAGAGCCTCTCCTGGTTCAAGGATGATGAGGTGAGTCTGAAGTAGCTATGATCAGTATTTTTTAGATGAACAATGGCTCAAATGATCATGTGTAATGTGTAATAAGGGATTTCTTTATAATGACAAAAACCTTTAACAAGTAGTTTGATTAATATTTGAGATTTCAAACACACACATTAACATAACAGTGTTGAGTAAACTACACAGTTCTTCACTGATGTTTTTTTTAATTGATTATAATTGCATCATTTTATTCCCAATATCATTGATACTTTCAAATACAGAGCAACAACAGTGGTTTTGTAGAAGAAATCACATCATCTGCGCCCACAACTCTGCAGTGACAGGATGCAGCATTTGGTTCCATCCTGCTGGCTGTTTTGGTGGGCTGATGTCTATCTGCCTGTCTGTGCCTGCTGTACAGGTTGGAGGATATTCTGCACAGCAAGTGTAGATAGGCAGACACACTGCAGCTCCTTCAGCCACATGGCGCTGCTCTGCTGTTTGTGTAGAGGAGGAGAATATTTTTTGCAAACGATAAAGACCAAAGCTTTCTCTCTTGATTATCAAATATATTTTTATATGTGACTGGACTGGCTGACAGTCTGCTGACAAATGCATCATGTCCATGATGGTGCAATTTACTGTGCAGCAACATTTCTTCTTTCCATTCATCCATCCTTTTGTCTCGCAGTTCCCTGTCTTCTCCACATTTTCTTCTCTACCCACCTCCCTCCACTGGGAGTTTGAGCATTTGCTTCTTCTTAGCAAATTTGGAACAGTCCCAGTCGCGACCAAATGTTCATTCACAGACACCCAAAATATATGAAAGCACACTCAGCCCCAGACGGCACATGGGCCGCACAGCTCTCGCTCTACACGTTGTCATTTGATACGTTAGTGTGGTTATGTAGGAAATTATAGACTCCGCTGGCTTCGCCTTGTATATTTCTGTTTTACACTCCGTGAACTTTTCTAGTCACACATGCGCGGGGACGCACACACACACACATCTGCGCGCCCTCCTCCCGCTCTTGGTGTGGTTGGCAGTTACTTTGGAACTGCTCGCATTCTTGGCAGGAAAATCACAAGTTTTTAATCCAAACATCAGCCTCCAATGTTTCGGTGGAGAGAAACCCCTCTATTAAATATCAATATACCCCCCAACCCCACCCACTCTCTTTTCCGACCTTCAACTACATAACCAGATTACACTCCATGACATGAAGTCACTGTTAGACCTGGAATATTCCACATGCAACAGAGAAAAGGTTGCATCTCCATTTTGTGTCTTTTCATACTTTCTCTACAAACCAACAGCACAATAACTTAACTATTCTTTGTTTCCCGAGGCTTTTTCTGAAACATTTCTTGCACCATCTGCAAAACACGTTTTCTGCCAGCTTTACGCCGTTATCTGACACCACAGAAATCTAGCAAAGATCAGTGTCCTGTTCCCTCCAAGTCCTTCTGGCCACCCACTGAAATAACTTACTAGAGGTGTCTGACTGTATTTTCAAACGGCACTTGATTGATTGGCCCTTCGTTCTTTTGGCCTGTGTTTGATGCTTTGCAGCCACATTTGCTCCTCCCCCTTCCCGTGGACCACATCTTCATCAGAGCACCAGGCTAGCAGCCTGCACACTCACTCATTCATGCTATAAATTATGTGAGCTCGCTATTTTGGTGAGTTTTGGCTTCAAATCTTTTACCGCTCTGGTTTAAAAGTCAGATTTTTACACCTTGTTTTTCTCATTATTTTGTCAAATCTGCAGTTATTGTTGGACATTTGTGACATAAGTTTATTACAAATAGGAGTGAAAAGAAAGTAGTGAGTGTTAGAATGCACAATACAGATGAATACAGATAAAATACAGATTATAAATAGATTAAATAAAGCAGAGGGTGAAGAGGAAGCAACAGATGCAAAAAAAACCCCACATCTTTGAGACCTGAAATGTCAACAGAGAGACAGATAGAGTGACAGACTGACAGAAGAGGGTCCATGCCCAGTCTAACCAATGTGCAGACTACTGTACACCAGTATGACAATGAACAGGTAGTCTGAACACTGGGTGGACGGAGCCGGAGTTAAGGGTCAGGCCTTGTGTGCTGTGTTCTGCCATTCCAGATGCTCGCGTCTCTGTCGTCTGTGCCCTCCCTTCGCGCCTCTCCATTTTGGCAGCAAGGATCCCGTCTATCGAAAAACCCCTGGAAATTTGCAAATCGCCTCATCCTCATGTTTGCTGCTCTCCCCCATCTTTTTTGGTACACGTCTCTTGGCTTGTTTGTTTGTTTTGGTAGATGCTTGAGATCGGGGTCCCCTCGCGGTCCGTTTTGGTCACGCCGGCCATGAAGAGTATCCAGCCTTGACGTGGCATATTCGCTCAGACGACTGGGACAGACTGGCTGCACGTTCAGGGAGGGGATATTACAAAAAAGAGGGAAAGAGGGAGACGGAGGGGGGAGTGAGTGAGTGAGTAAGGGAGAGAAAGAGAGAGGAAGAGGGAGGGGACCTGTGTGACCATATATGGGCTGTAGTGACCCCTTGGGGAATACAACACTCAAGGGTGTGCAGAGTTTTCCTGTCTTGTCTTCTTCTTCTATCCTCATCTGCTTTATTTCTTACCTGCGACCATCCACCACCGCTTTCCACACCGTCAAACCAGATGTGGTCTTGCTCCTGCAAATCTTTTGCAAATCCACTTTCGCATTTCTCCTCCGTGGTCTCGCCTCCTCCTTCGCCTGCCGTCTCTTTAACTTCTCCCTCCTTCCCTGCTTCTCTCTGTGCTGCTAAGCACTACCAGATGTTGGGTTTTAACGCCAGGCTGTCATTTAATCTCTCTCTCTCACTCTCTCTCCCCCCGTCTTCAAAAAAAAAAAGAAGAAAATCAGGCAGGAAGTGGGCCCCTCTGGAATGGAAAGAAAAAATATTGAAAAAATATAGAGGGGGAGGGATAAAAGAAAAAAGAAAGAGAGTTAAGAAAGATGGAGGCTAGGATGGACTGTAAAAACGAGGAGCAGAGTTTCTTGGGCCTAAGCATCCATTGCAGGCCGCTGTCTGTCCGAGTCTGAACCCAAGACGATAAACGTTTTATTATAGCAGTGCATTATCTTGACCCTCAATGCTTTTCATTAATCTGCATTTCCCCTGTCTTTACAACAGCCAGAGAGTTTCCTAAGCCTTTAGCTTCCAGCGCCGCAAAAACGCACCATCAGGAACGAGTGTGTCTTGACCCACACTGTAATGACTTCCACATGTGTTCTCCTTCTCCCTTTTTCCTTCTCTGTTTCTGCTTAACCCCCCTCTCCCCCCACTCCCCCCACCTCCCACTCTCATTTCTCCCCCATTCCTCCTCCCTCATGTCACCCCCCCCACACACACACACCGCTTACCCCCTTTCTCCCTCTTTACAAACCTGATTTCACCTTTGTCTCGTCGATATCCTACGCTGCAGTTGTTTCCACGTCAAAACGATAAATGGAGAGAGTTGTATGAGTCATAAAAAAGGGCGCATGATCTATGTCTTCTGTTTCCCTCATTCACAGGAGAAGGAGAAGAAGTACATGCTCCCCCTGGACAACCTGAAGGTCCGCGATGTGGAGAAGAGTTTCATGTCCAGCAAGCACATATTCTGCATTTTCAATACGGAGTCGAGGTCAGCTGCGAGGCCCGAACTTTTTTTTTAACCTGTGCAATAGCTTAAGGTGCAACTAATGTGGCTGCAAATGAAACTAGAGTAGTCACACAGTAGAGTGCATACCTCCGCCAAGACCCAATAGTAATTCACTAGATCCAGATTTTTATTTGGATCTGCACCAAATTGCATAAATATCAGTTCCCTAAAAAGATTTTAATCAGCGTCCATGAATTATTTTCTGACAAATTAATGAAAATGCTGAAAATCTCACAGTGTTAAAAAATGTGAAAACAATTCATGGATCTATTCCTTAATCTGAATCTGCACCAAACATTTATGAGTTCTTCCCTGACACCTACTGCTTCACATATCGTAGAAATAAACCAAACACAGATGAAAACGTATCCTAATTCACGCAGGTAATAAAACTTCTGATAGCTATGGAGTTAGAGAGTTCAAGACCAGCGTGCAAGCAATGGCTGAAATATTTTGCCACGTTTAGTCTGTAAGCGCACGTGAACAAACCAGAACACTACAGCACAGTTCGTGGAGTTAACTGTGAAATATAATTTTGAAATACTAGAAATTTTAAAGGGAGATACTGCACGGAGGAATGGTTACTTCCAGGTCTCGATGTTGCAATAATGGGTTAATGATAATGGAATAGTGAAATCAAACAGACGATTTTCTCAACTGCACTGTAAGCGATTTGGCGCAGAACGTCTTGTAAAAAGTTTTATTGTAATTCAGTTTCTTCATCCCATTAAGTAACTCCTGGCTGGAATCCTAAAATAGGTTAAATAACAAAATTTCTCACATGGAGGGAGGCACGTAACTCTATAGACTGTTAATACTTACAGATGACAGAGCTGATCTCTTCTGGTGAACACAACCATGTTTATTTGAATAAATAAATGCTTCTTGTCACATTCTTGTACAGATCAGGTTTCATGGCTTCCACCTACATATTCTCTCCTGTGTCATGTGTTTAGGAATGTGTACAAGGACAATCGCACCTTGGAGTTGGCCTGTGACTCTCAGGATGATGTGGACAGCTGGAAATCTTCTCTGCTTCGTGCTGGAGTTTATCCTGAGAAGACGATTACGGTGAGCAGACTCATTCTGCATTCACATTGCTCCCTCCAGTGCCTTTACGACAGTGTCTTATGTTTGATTCTCTTATTCTGTGTGATCCTGACATCACCACTTTTTATATCAAACTCAGACCTGTAAAAAGCAACATTTTAATTTAATCTTTTATGAGCTTTCTGGGAAATTTCACAGTATTTAACGAGGCAAGCATGGAAACATTTTTTCCTTAGTTTTCTGAAATGTTAAGATCATACTGTATTCAAATGTCCATATAAGTAAAATAATCTAACTCTTTGGGTTCCTGCACGTTTTCTTTCTTCCTTTTCTCCTCTCTCCCTCTACAGGTTGAGAGTGAGACCACCACCACCTCAGATAACTTCTCTATGGACCCTCAACTGGAGCGTAAAGTGGAAACTATTCGTAACCTGGTGGACTCCTACATGGCTATTGTCAACAAGTGCATCAGGGACCTAATGCCCAAGGCCATTATGCATCTCATGATTGGCAATGTATGAAAAAAATCCCTTAAATGCTTATTTAAGTGTATTCAAGTAAAAATACTGCAACCAAATTGATGAAATAGTTATAATTTATTATATATTATATTATAATTATTATTTTCACATTTATGATTTATCATTCTGCACTTCCCCTCGATACCACTAGGTGAAGGACTTCATCAATGCAGAGCTATTGGCCCAGCTGTACTCTGCAGGTGACCAAAATGCCCTGATGGACGAGTCTCAGGAGCAGGCCCAGAGGAGGGACGAGGTGCTGAGGACCCACCAGGCCCTGAAGGAGGCGCTGGCCATCATTGGAGATATCTCCACCTCCACCATCACTGTTCCCGTGCCTCCGCCTGTTGACACATCCTGGATGGGAGACACCGTTGGTGGGCGCAGGTAACGTGAAATTAGAATAATGCACATGTATGCTGTGACCAATTTAAATAAAAACAAATGGTGCTTTTAAAATACCTGAACATTTTTAGCCTCCTCCCTCAACATTATTCTGAATAACATCCTTTCTCCTCCCCAGGTCTCCTCCATCCAGTCCCACTGCCCCCAGGAGGATGTCTTCAGGCCAGCGCCCAGCTCCCCGAGGGGCCCCGCCACCGCCAAATCGCCCAGGACCCCTAGGACCTTTCAATAACACTGCTGACAGCCCGCAGGCTCCCAGCCGCCCAAACAGGGCTCCTCCTAGCATCCCTAGGTAAAAGCAGCCCAACACACAGCATGCTCTTTTGATATTTTTATGAAAGTAGGGGTATTTTACCTGAAGAAGATTTTACTATAACAATGATATGATGTGAAAAATGCTGATTCAAGCAAGAGGAAAAGAAATGCTTCAATATTTTATTACCATTTTGTTACCACTTCCAGCAATCCAATTCCACCTAAGACTCAATCACAGGAGTAAAGTAGCAATAAAGGGTCATATTAAAATTGGTGTTGCCCATGAATTATCCTAAATAGAGAAACACAGAGAAAACAACTGTCCTGGCCTGAAAACAACACCATGCATGCACAGTCAAAGAGATCCAATGTGGGGGCTGACCTTGAGTGTTAGGGTTAGCGAGGCGTGGCGTAGACAGGAACAAGGTGAGAAGTTAGGGCAACACATCATTTGGGGGAAGGCTAACCACTAGCCGTAGTCAATCAGCGTCCGCCATTGGGAATAGTATCAGATTGTGAGCTTTATTTTTTCCAATTTCCAGAGAAATAGTGCCATGTAGCCTTCTTTCTGAATCTTATTCATAATATGAAAACAAAAACCTTAAAATTAAAAACATGTTAACACTGACGATTAACCTTTTCTCTCCTCGTTCTCTTTTACTTCCATAGCCGGCGGCCCCCTCCGTCTCCTACACGACAAGTTCCACCATAATCATCCAAAGAGGGTTCCTCTCCTCTCTTCTCCCTCCGTCATCCTCATCCCTCCTCTCTTAGCCATGGCTCGGCTGGCTGTTCTCTCCTTAGTGCAGACACTGTCTTTGACCCCCTTTGACCCTCGATTTCCTGCCAGGTGACGGTGTCCATATATCTATGTACAGTATGGTACTTGTCTTGTGGTGTATGTAAATGTGCGCTTGTTGCTCGCCTGTGGTCCAGGTTTGCTTAGCAGATCCACTACCCACCAGTCCCTGGGACCTCTACACCCCCCTCACGTACCCCTCACCAAGTCAGCCATCAACTCCACTTGCTGCTTCTACATGAAAATACGCTCAGCAGTCGTACTGCCCTACTCATTCCAAAATGCAGCATGGCACATAAGCTGCTTTTATTGCATGGGAGTGTGTGTGTGTGTGTATGTAAACAGGGGAGGGACTAATTTGCCTATATGTAGGCTGAGTTTGATTTAGTATTGTATTAATTTATTGTATATTACTACCCTCTCCCCACAGTAAGTGTTAATTATCAGCTTAATGTTCTCATAGGAACAGAAGTTGTATCTTAGTATGTGTGTGCGTGTATGTGCGTGTTTGTGTGTGTAAGAGTGCGTGAGGACATGTGTGCATGTGCTGTCTGTCTGCACGTTTGTTGGCGTTTCAGTTGTATTTGTTTTCATGGTCAAAGCTGTTAATGATGAATCATAAAACCCCTGCAGTTAAATTTAATGTTGGACTTTTGTGAGTTGTTCCTGTGTTGTAGTAGCAGCCATACACACTTAGCAAGGTTGAGGAGCACCTTCAGTATTCTCTTATATGGAAACAGCCTCAATAATGCATTTAACCTTGTCATAGGTATCCACCTGTGCTGTACCAATGGTCAACTTGTGACCCATGCAGCCTTACGCTCTGATCCAGACACTGACTGCTGTGATCTAACTTGCCACTTGAAAAAATAAAGAAATTAATAAAAACAGTTGTGACTTAATGTGGCAAAACACAAGTTGAAAAAAGAACATGCATTGCGTGTTTCCATTTAGCCTATTTCTCAGGTCTGACACATGCAACTCCATGCACATCACACACTACCAATCTCTTCTCTCAACTCTTCTCATTTCCTCTATTCAAAAACCATCAAAGCCACGTCAGTCAGTCAGCAAGTGCATCAGAGCTTAAGGTGCTGTTGTCAATGTTCAAGTGCTTCTCTGTCAGGTTGTTATTGTGTATGTGGGCCCAAACTGTGTTCTGATGTATATAGGTAATGATAAGGAGATACTGTACCTGTGGACTATAAAGACCTCATCCAGGATCCTAGCGCTTTAATCGTTCTCTGTCTCTATTCACTTAAATGCTCTCTTCTCTCTTTAGACTGCCTTACCGGCATGAATAACAATTCTGTATTGCCAAAGCTAAATGTAGAAAGAGAAATGTGAAGTGGGGGGGGGGAAATGAAGATGAAAAAATGATGCTAAGAAAGACAATGAAATGGTTTCAGGTGTAGTTGAGCTGGTGTTTAGCAGAAGGCATAATGTTAAACTGGGGAATTGCATCAGTTGTTATTTTCTGTGTCTCTGTATCGCTCCTCAATAAACTTCTTCCTCATAATGTGATTTTTGTCTGCAGAGTCTTTATTGGTTCAATTATTGGGTTTTAATAAGAGCGTAAGAAGTTATGTTGACCTCTCATGGAGTGCAGCTAAAATAATACTCTGTTATAATAATAAACTATAAATGATTTGCTTATTTGTTTATTTACACAAAAAACTGAATCCATGCTTGCTGGGTACATTGTCTGACATTGTCTATTCCCAATGGACGCAGCCCAAACACTCATGCATTAGGGTTAGCAGAAGCCAATACCAGCTGACACTGACCAAGAAGTGGTATACACCCAGGAGAGATCACCCCCGTATCACAGGGTCAGCACATACAGAGGCAAACAACCATTCACACTTACATTCACACCGGACTGTACACTATAGAACACAAAGACCATAACCCCTCCTCTCTTAAATCTTAGATCACTGGGATGAAGAATCAAACACGTTTTCACTTCCAGCCACAAAAGTAATCTTAAAACATATCTCTATAGCCTGGCTTTTGATTAAGTGTAGTTTATAGACATTATTTTACTGCATATCATTTAAATCTAATTTACTATTATCAGTCCGTTAATATCATTAGTATAGTATGTGTTTTTATCCTGTTCTATTGACTTAATATTGATACTTTTTGTAGTGTTATTATAGCTTTCAAAATGTATTTTGTGAGAAATTACTGTCATCGTTTATATTTGTTTTTTGTATAATTCTTGGGTGATGGTCTTATGAGGAGTGTACATATTAAAGGTGTTATACAAATATAGTTGGCTTGATTGAAATGTTCTAGAATTGAGTAAAGGGCGCCCTCTAGTGGCATTAATATAAACGTGCACAAACGTGTTTTAAAAACTTCACCATGACTCATTTGTTTCCCACTTTGTGCAATAGAGGACACAAACGTGTGGAACACAGACTTTGAGCTGAACAATTCTGATAATTTACAGATGTGTGCATTTAAGTTATAATCATCCCTTCTTCCTATGTTGTGATATTGTTATGGTATGATATGATGGGATTTTCCGTTTTTATTGTTTTTAACGATCAAGTATTAAAAACTAAAGGGGACAGGCCCCACAACTCTGGAACGACCTGTCTGAGGAAAACAGCTGATCCAATGATCTTCTTTAAGTCCCTTGTTAAAACCTACTTTTATCTGAGAGCCTTTCCTGATTTTACCTGCATTTTTATTGTAATTTATTGAATTTTATTTCTAAAAATGAATCCAAAAGAATTGAATTTTGAAGTTTTGAAGAGTTCTGTCAAATGAAAGCTGTCTTTTAATATGTGTGATTCTCTCATTTCTGCTGTGCTCTGTTTTATTTTGCTGACCTTGTAAAGCACTTTATAACTTAGATTTTCTTAAAACCTACTTTTAGCCTCTCCTGATTCTACCTGCTTTTTTAGTATATTTTATTGAATTTAATTTCTAAATTTTAATTTAAAGGAATGTTATGTCATTTAGAGTTCCTTCAAATGAATCCTGTCTGTTAATATGTGTGATTCCTTAAGTTTTATACTAATTAATGAATAAACATCTGAGCCATTTAATTCAGTTTTTTTCATTCTTATTCCTTCAATGTTTTATTATTTCAAATTAGCTTTCACCGCGGTTGACTCAAGTAGCACTCGAAATATTCATCCTTCGTCGTAATTCCACTTCAGTGACGTCACATGAAAGCTGGTCGGTTTATTTTCACCATCGCCAGGAAGAAGCTCCGCCAACTCGGGGAGACCAGACGTTACGAATCAAGCGCTCCCAACGCACACACGCTCGGTTTGAACTGCGCAACCTCTTCTCTGGGCTCTGATTGGTCAGCGGGGCGGTGACAGCCGCTCGTGTATGTGCGTGTGTGACAGCGGCAGCAGCAGCTAGCATCACACCGACACACAACGTTAGCGAAGTTCACGAGAAGCAGCGGGCGGATTTTATATCCGACACACCAGCAGCGGAGGGAACCTCAGAGAGAAAGGCAGACATTACTCCATCAGTGAGCAGGGGGAGGATGACTGTCCCGGCGGGAGAGGGATGAAGATGACACCTCTGTTATGGCGAGTGGTGTCAGTGTGGCTCTGTGTCGCTGTGCTCTCCTGGTGAGTAACTTCGGCTCAGTGCGTCTCGGTTCGACCCGGCGCTGCTGTTTTCACTTTTGACCTGGAAGCTGCTGAGCTGTCCGAGTGACGCTGCTCCTGGTTCTAACATGTAGCCCGTTGGCTAGCTCACGTGAACATGTGATGTGGCACCTGGCGGACTCCTCACTTGTTGTCACTGAGTTAGCTTCAGTCGCTGACCACGAGCAAGGGGTTAGCATAGCTGAGTTAGCTAGTGAACAAGTTGTTCCTAAATGTTAGCTTAGTCCTCTGCCTCGTTATGTTTTACGGCCTGGCTATTTAGCTGAATTTGAGTAGAATTACATAAACGATACGTGTATCACCTGTTTGTGAATTTCATCTGAGCAGTACATGTGGAAGTGGAAGTTTGAACAACCATAAGATGTCACCTCCTCACAGATCCGCTGTGCATCACTGTCACACCGGCCATGCTGCCACAGGGCTCACGTTACATGGATCTGGTTCTTCAGCTGTTGACAGGATTAGAGGCCTTTCACGTCGAGGTTGTCTGTGCAAATCTGACAAACACACACACACACACACACACACACGGAGAGATTATGCAGGGCGATTATGTGCTGTAGCCATGATGTTAGAGGACAAGTCACAAAACACAACACGCACTGACCACTGCTCTTCACACAGAGAGGACAGGGAGGGAGAATGATGTAATACTGTATTAAGATCTGTGTGGCCTACTTCCACCAGCTTTGCTGTGACTGTCATATTACACTGAAGCTCTGAGTGATAACATGTCAGTGTCCGTTGTCTGTGCTGTTGGCACAGAACTGTTGAGTTAAATCTAACGATGCTGTAGGAAGTGGAAGTCAGTCAGTTAATTGACATTTGCTGACTTTGTCTCGGCGCTCATGTCAGAGCAGCTCAAGTGACAGTAATAAGATAAAGTAGCAGCCCAGGTGTCACGCACTCTGAGATTTCACCTCACTGTGAAATATATATATATGCTTTGAATGTTTCTCTTTGTCTCAGACCATTGTACCAGAGCTGCTCATTTCCTGGACTGTTTGATTTATAGTGTATTTGTATGATTTACCCATCAATCTGATGAAGTACCTTTGTTTGACATATATTAATATTGCTGGATTAGCAACTAGCAGACATTCTGGCTTCCAGGCTTTCTACAGGACCTTTAAAAGTCTATCAAAAGAGTCATTACTCTGAATTTCGGGCAGTAAAGTCTTCAATAAATCAAAATATTATGTACTAGCTCCAAGTGTTTCCCCAACATGCAGTATACTGGTGCCTCAATATCACTTTGTTGAAAGGGATGTACTAATGATACAGTATGTTACAATGTTAATTTAGCAGTTTTATTGGATGAATCATAATTACCATGTTGGTGGTGCCATGTCGACATTGTCATATTGTTTATCTGATCATTACTCAGGTTTAGTGCCTGAGTAATCAATGATACGTCATCTTACATGGTATTCATGTGACTGTCATAAAACTTGTATGGCAGGAATGGGAAGTCTTTTTCCTGTTAAGGGACATTTCAGTGTTTTTTTTAACTTTCTCCATGGGTCATGCTAAATTATTGAACAGTATTAACACACACATATCACATTAACCTCCATTGTCCACCACAAATTATTTTTGGGCTTTTTGGCTATTAGCTCACTCACCACAAAACTTGCCTCAGTAACATTGTCTCTGTCAGAATGTGGTCTTGTGAGATATTTGTGTTGAGCACATATACTCTGTGAAGTTTACTTTATCCAGTAGCATTTGTCCTTATTTCTCATCCAGTTTAGCTGCATGTTTCCAGCTGTGACTTGCAAACAGTCAGAAGAGTCTACTATTTTATGTTATTTTCTGTTATCGCAGAAAAAAAGAAGATTGCTGTCAGGATAATTGTTTGTATTTTTGAGTTGTTTTGTTGTATTGTCTTGTGGGCTGAATACAGCTTAGAACCATACAAGCTTTGCTATCCCTGTTACATCCTTGTCTTATAATTTGCCAGATGCTTCATGAAATAGATTATCCAACACACAAAGAGAATGATTATTTCATCATGAGGAAGTACACTTAAAATATCCTGTACTATAAGTTGTTGTACAAACATATAATGTACCATCATACCACTCTTTATCTACGACCACATAGTTAATTATTTAGAAACTTATTATTTAGCAATGGCTCTTGCTCCTTTGTGACTTCAATTACAGCTGCTGCCTTTCAATTAGAAAACAGATTGCCACTGTGTTCACTGAAGTGTTTGTGGCCGGTCTCGCCTCTCGAGGCTGATCAGCAAAGCAGCTGAGTCAGCCAGGACTTAAAGAACTTGACCTGGAATCTTGAATAATGTTCAGATAATAGCCTGGATTATTGACAGTGTACAGTCACTGTTGGAGTTTGGCCTTTGAGACTGTTTGACCTTTCCCCCACAGGAATCAGACATTATTGCATTATTTAAAGTCTAATTACTGTTGATTATTGTTGGTTTCATGCCAGGAGTGACCCAGACCTCCTTTTCTTGGCAAAGTCACAACCAACAGAAGTGTGGGGTCTAATACAAAGGAGACAAAGACAAAAGAGAAACTTATCACACAAAAATCTCAAAAGGATTAAGATTAAGTGTGTCTTTTCACTCTAGAGGAAACAGATGTTGCATGTTTCAGACAAGAGACAAAAATAGGTTGAGCAATATATAACTTGCTTTTGGTGTGTGTCTATTTCCATGACTCTGCATACAGATAAGATAAATTGTCTACACTTGGGTACAGGCCACCTGGATTTTCTTAGTTCATCACTGCGTTTACACTGGGATGCTGCTTTTTCTGTGTGTGATTCACTTCACTCTATAAAATGTTTAGCCCGACTGATTCTACAGTATATAAATATTTCTATAATCTGAGCTTCTTTCCCAAATGTATAATGAAGTATCCCATATTCAGACAAATTGACTCAATGATTATTATTCCCTTCATCACTTAGGTACCCTAGTTGCTATGTTGGTTGCACAGAGTCGCACCAAGAGGCCCAGAGGACCATGGCCTCACAGGACGTCAGTCCGGAGGAAGAGTCAGGGGAAAAGACTCCTCCTGAAAAGGTAACGTCAGTTGAACAATACTATTCTACAACAAAACTTTTTAACCAGAAGTTTCACAGGCTGCTATTTGAGATCACTCATGTGACCGTACACTTTATAGACACATTTAAGATTGTGTGTGTCTGTGTGTTTGTGCGTGTTTTTCTCCAGGTTGAGGAAAGCTGGGTCTTGCCTGCCCAGGCCTTGTCTGACAATGAGCCGCTGTTAGAAGATAATCAGCTAAACGAGGAACAGACAACACAGCACATGGACAAAAAAGAACAATATTCAGAGGTATAGTTATAGTTATTAAAATAAGTTGTGTGTCATTCAAATCTCAACTTAACACAACCAATGATTTCCATGTAAAGGCATTTGTCTAATTATTTTAAGAATTTTAAAGACCTGTTTAATGTTGGAACAGATTTTTTCTTAGATTTACTTCTACTACTTTGCTTCCTGAGCATCACAACAGATTCATTCCATCCAGTTCTTTTTATTGATCCTTCCTGGAACATTTCATGACTGAAGTGTTTGTTAGATCAGTCCAGCTCTGGCTAATGGGCTAATCATTAAAAACATTTCACTGGACAGGTCAAGTATCTCTCTGTTTTTCCATCAGGTCTTGGATCAGGCCTTAGAAGTGAAAGCGCCCAATGTTGAGGCAGAAGTGGAGGCAGACAAGGATGTTTCACAAGCAGAGCCAGAACCTGAGCCAAGCTCAGAAAATCCAAATCATGAAACCTCTGTCGTTGAAGAGCATGATTCACCTGCTCTGCTCCCATCATCTGACCCTGTCTCTGGTTTTTCCACTGAGCTTAAAGACAATCCAAACATCATCACCCTTCAAGACAGTGTCACAAAAAAGTAAGGTTTCATCTGTTTTACAATAAATTCATTTAAATCTGTCAGCTCTCTGTAAAAATATTAGTTTTTCCCATATATGATTTGGTTTCTTGCACCCAGTGAGAAGAACAAGGTACTTTTAAAGTGTTTACTTTGTCAAGGATGGTTTCCCTGTCAGTGAAATGATTTAAAATGTTTTTTTCCTTTCAGTGTTTTAGATGATGCATCTGATAATGCTGCACCTGATGTTGAATCTGAACTGCCTCCTGCTGACTGTGAAGAAGAAAACAATCCATACAACAATGAAAGGTGGGTACTGTCATCTAGAAAATTATGTCATAATGTTTCTTTTGCGTATTTGTCAAGTTTGTTTGAGTGTTATTCCCAAGCCTAACCACCTCATAATCTAGTTGAAGTTCTATTTAAAAGATCAGAATAACACTTTGTAACAAGGCCACAATGTTTGTCTGTTTCCACAGCCCTCCTCCGATTGTTCTAGAGAACACTTCCAATGTTCACACTGCTGGTACCAAATCCCACGCTGACCCTCCTCTGACTTCATCAGTCGGAGACAGCCCACAGCATCTGGAGGTCAACACATCACATGTGGTGAGAGAGCAGGTAAGAAACACAGACACAGTGTGAGCTATTTCCAGAGGAAGATGTCCCAGCTCTCATTTTCTCATTATCTCATTATCTTTGACAGGACCTGAGCTCCCCTGTCACCACAGACACAGATTCCAGTGTGAGCAGCAAAGACCCTGAGGACATCCCCACTTTTGATGAGTGGAAGAGAAAGATGATGGAGGTGGAGAAAGAGAAGAGTAAGTTTACACATTCAAAATTTAAAATGTATGTATTTCAAACCAAAAAACAAATCCTATTTTCAATCAAACTAATTGTAAAGATTTAATTTTATTTAAACTTTTATTAAAACTCTTGTGTTTTTTCTCCTTAGCACTCTCTACTCACCCCTCTAACAATGGTGGTTCTCAGACACTGAAGAAGGTCCAGAAGAACTTTAATAACTATGCCTCAGTGGAATGTGGGGCCAAGATCCTTGGTGCTAACCCAGAAGCTAAGGTACTTTGTATGTATAAAACTATATCCTGCTAAAGAATATGCTTGCTCTGTTGGATTTTGACCGAATGACACATACAACCTAATATTGCTTTGTTTCATACAGAGTACTTCAGCGATATTGAAGGAGAACATGGACTTGTACATGTTAAACCCCTGTAGTAACAAGATCTGGTACGTAGAATGTTTGCATTGCCTGCTTACTATTCACATTTGTAACCTGATACTATTTCTTTTTCCATCTGATTTGTCATTGTTTGCTCCATGTTCTTTTTCGCTCAGGTTCATCATTGAGCTCTGTGAGCCCATCCAGGTGAAGCAGCTTGACATCGCAAACTTTGAACTCTTTTCCTCAACTCCCAAAGACTTCCTGGTCTCCATAAGTGATAGGTAGGCTTACTTAATGTGACACAGTGTGGAAATATTTCTGTTATTCATATAGTAGTTTTTAAAGCTATTTTTAGTTACTTAGCTCTTCAACTGACACATGTCAAATTTAACAGAAAAAAAACTTGTTTTTTGCAATCCAGATCACTCAATTGTTTATACTTGCTCCTCCAGATACCCAACAAATAAGTGGTTAAAACTGGGAACCTTTCACGCCAGGGATGAACGCACAGTCCAGAGCTTCCCATTAGATGAGCATCTCTATGCTAAATATGTGAAGGTGAACACAAATATTTTTGTCTTTAATCAGAGCTGTCTTTCTTCTGTGTTAATGCAGTGTAAAGGATTTGCTGTTATCTCTTAATGAATTGAATAATTAAGCAAGACTTTCTCTCTAAATCTCTTTCAGTTGAAGTTTTGCCTCCTTCACTTTTATTTTGTTCCTTTGCTCTTAAATGGCATGGCCATTTTATGTTGGATAGAGAAACTATTATGAGCTAGTATTGCAGAAGTTCTTGACATGTTATTAGCAGTTGTTTGTTGAAGTCAGTTAAATTGGTTAACTGAGTTAATTTTGGGGTAGTTCATATTATATATCCTTTGCGGTTAAGGCCAATTTTGAGAGTGATATATGTTGTAAATTTCAGTCAGTGACTTAATACTCATCTGAAGTGACTCAAGTAAAACCAACACACACTATTTGTTCCTGTTCTGAATGGATTTATAAATGTCTTTAATTACTTCTCTCCTTTTCCCATGTGTCTTGCTTCAGATGTTCACCAAGTACATAAAGGTTAGCATGCATTTCTTGTGTGAGCTGAATAGTAAACATGGAGAGAATTGTGTTTGGCTCTCTTTTGTCTTAATGGTGTGGTTATCATTAAAACAGACTCTGATCTTTTGCTGTGCTCCTTACTAATCCAAAATACTCTCAAAACATTCTACATGTTATTTGATAACCCACGAATTGAATCAACCTGATGTAAATCAAAGAATCAACAATATTCCATCAGGTGATCTAACATGTCATATACTGAGATGTTTCTTTTATTTCCTCATGCAGTAACTTGTTGCCATCGTTCCACTGGAATTTCTCTTTAACCCTTTGTATTAAATTCACAACAAAACAAAACAGCTTTGCTTTGCTTTGCTGTTTGTTCGTAACATGCCCATCCACTGCTGAGTGCTGATTTGTGGGGTTGTAATACAGCACACATTTCACATGATAATAATACCTGAATCATTTTTGCATTTTGTTTTAGGTGGAGTTGGTCTCTCACTTTGGGGCTGAACATTTCTGTCCCCTGAGTCTCATAAGGTATGTAACAAATAAGGAAATGGAAATTGAATATGACCCATTTGCCACTTTTACCTTAGAAAGCTGGCAAAAAAGGAAATGGGATTTTGAAAACAAACATGACAAAACAAAATAAGTTAAGTACTGTATGTTTTATACTGTTGTTGTCCTACCTTCCTTTTATGTCTGTGTCCATGTCTGTTCTTGATTGAGTTGTCTTATATTTTTAATTTAATTACCCTTTAATTTTATTGTCTGCATACATGTTAACTTTAGTTCACTTCTGCATAGTGCAAAATAGATGTGGTTGAAGTTTGCGCACAAGGAAGTGAGAGTTAACACATATAACAACTGTTCATTTTAAGTATATCGATATTTAAAAAGAAGGTTGCCTGCTCTGGGGACATTTCTCATCAACAGAAATCAAACAGTAGTTTGCTGCTTGACATTAATACTTTCTTGTATGTTGAAACAATGACCCTCTTCTATTTAATGACCTGTGTGTGTTGGGTGCTTTTAGTATAACCCCCTGTCCCATTGAGACTGGTGAAGATTTGAAATTTGACTCTATTTAGGTTTCTGCATAAAACAGATTAGATTTCACTGCTGCATGTGAATGGTTGTAGAATGATTACATAATAATTCTTATTTACTTTTGATGCCAGGGTGTTTGGGACGAGCATGGTGGAAGAGTACGAGGAGATAGCTGATCCCCCAGAAAGACCAGACGATCAGGATGATGACCAGGGTAAGCACTGGAAATGGCATGTCGCTAATGCAGTTGGGAATGTTTTACACATGTGATCGCATCAATCATGAGAACAAGACAGGTTGTACTGCTGAACAAGATACACACTACAACCTGTCTGGTACAGTTTGTTTCAGTAGTGTTTGCACAGTCTAGTTTAAGAGATCAATGGGTTTTAATAAGGGAACTGCCTCCCACAGAGTATCCATCTGGATATGCACCTGGTGAAGTCAAGTTATCAAAGAATCTGATTGGCTCAGCAAAAGGTAAATCTGGCTGAAAAGGATTTCTTGCATACAGACAACCTGTATCACTCTATTAACTTCTTGCTCTGCTGTTAATTTGATCTTTTCAGATGTCATTCTGAACATGGTCAATAATATTGCCGTCAATGTTCTCGGTGGAGGCCCAGAGATGCAAGGTAAGATCACCACAGTCAGTTGGAAATCTCTGCTTACTGGCAGCTCAAATGTTTTAAAAAGGACATTCAGTCACTATTTAATATTTCCAAAAAAGAAAAACCTTCAGCTCATAGGTTCTAAACTATTTGTGAATAGTAATAATTGGTGCAGCGAGAGTTAATGTTTTATTTCTTATTTTCATTTTGTAGTCAATATATCATCCCAGGAAGTGAACATGACTGAGCTATCAGCACAGATTGAACCCACAATTCAAACGACCTCCACAGATCCTACTTCAGTGTGAGTACCTGTCAAGAGTTTCATAACATCACCTGAAGCTTCCACTATAACAGTTTTTCATGAATTGAACATGCAGCTGCATATCTTTAAAATACAAATGTCAATTTAGAGGTTTGTAGTGAGTGATTGTGGTTAATATGGCCTAGATTTACAATTGTTTTATGGCCTATATATAGTCACAGAACACTACAGTAAAACGGAGGACACCACTGTGCAATATAACTACATTTTAAATTATTTAAAACTGTATGATCAAACTTTTTTTTTAATTGAAGGGTACTTGATCATATGCATGATTTAAAAACAAACTGCTTAGATAGACTACAACATCAGAGCAACAATATTTCCAGTTACGGCTAAATGCACAAACACAAATTCATAACATAATCTGTGAACACAGTTTTTTCTGTTTGTGGCTCGGGTTATATATAATGCAGTGCTGGTTACCATGCAGTTAGAAAATGCCTGAGCAAGTATGAAACCAGACTGTGACACTCCATAGAGATGGCAGAGGGTACAAGAGCATCAGAAGGCTACTGAACATAAGCTGAAACACAAATCCCAGCAGTGGTGGGGAGATATTTAAAGAGCCTCACTACCAGTAACAGAAGGTGCAGTGGCTGTGCACAGTTTGCTATTTACACAGCCTTACACAGAAAAACAGATGGGTAAGTGCCTCTGTCTTGGCACTAGAGTTATCTGTTGAAATTGGTGTTACAGTGACTAAACAGAAAGTGTGAATGACATTGCCCGAAGTTGCCCTCTGTGGATGGCATCCAAGAAGAAAATCATTACTCTAGAAACAGCATAAAACTGTGAGATTAAACTTTGAAAGAACAACAAAAGAGGCCTGATAAATCTTGGCAACACATTTTTTGGGTCAGATGAAACTGAAATAAAGAAGTTTGGATCATTTGGACTCAGAACTGACAAACCTTGATATCCCTGATATCTTTGAAGTATTTTAAGGCAAAAGGTGAAGCAAAAAAACTCAGCAAAGAGCAGCAGAAGAGAATCTTCTGTGAAGAACTGCAGAACATCTCTGCCTTTGGGTGCAAGACGAATATACAACAAATAGTAAAGCAGAAATACAAAATATGTAAAATATGTAATTTCACTAATAACTAGTGAACTGACTTTTGTTGCTGTTTTTTTAATATTTGTTGCGTTTTTGTAATATGGACCTTCCATCTATCCATTTACTTATTCCAGAAATGTCTGTCTGAATATTGCTTGCATATCTCGAAAACCGTTCATCTTATCGCTTCTCAATTGGCATGTGTATAGTTAAAAGCCAAAAGAACTGCAGTATTCATATCTTGTGATTTGGACACGTGATACGTTCAGTATGAGTTAACTTTGAATGAGGAGGTGACCAGTGCTCTGCAGCTGGGGTTGAGCAGGGGTTTTATTTAATTAATAGGCTTCATTTCCAATGTTCTGGTAAAAAAAACAAAAACACAAATTGCATCAAATCAACATAATTTGTAAACGCTTGATTGTTTTGACATGTTGTCAAGGAGCGTACTCGGCTTTTCTAGGTTAAATGGTCTCAAATGTGAGTTGTTGAGTGTAATTCCACTTCCATTTTTTCCTCTGCAATCCCATATTCAGCATTTACAAGTGCATGGATTTGAGGTTTGGATTTATTCATCGTTAACTTGTGACATGCTTCACATGCTTAACATTCTGTATTTTGTAGTGGAGCCTAAAGTGCAACATGTGTATTTAAATGTGTTGGTATAATATTGCACCCAAACTTTGATGTATACTACTAACTTTAGAATTTATACTATATTTTTATTCTTTCTCCCTAGTCCAGACTCTGAAGAGGCACTTATTTTACCAGACCCCGGTATCCTTGAAACTGGAGCCCCATTGTCAGAGAACCCTGAGCCAGAGATACCTGATACTGAAACTAGCCATCAAGAGCTCCCCCTAGTGGAGGAAAATATTATTAAACCTTTAGAGAAAGATAAAGAAGAACATATCAGCTCTACAATCACCCTTCTGGAAAAGGAGGAGGAGGAAGTGGATGAAGAAAAAGCGAACATGGACAATCACAAGCGACAAGATAATCAGCATTACTGCGCACTACTTCCTTCATTTTCTTCTTCGTGCTCTTGTACAGCTTCCTTCCAGGAATATCTGCTTCGGCAGTGTTCAGCCCTGCTGTCCAAAAAAAGGAAATGCCAAACAACGGATAGAAAGCAGAGGATTCCTTCTACAACACCCACCTGGCACCTACCCCTGTCCCCCTCCGCCTGCCCTGAGCCTCAGCTGCACCACACAGAGGTACATCAGCTCCCTGAAAAGGAACATGCTTCAGTGCAGGAGCCAGAGAGTGGAGCCAGCCCATCAGAAGCCCCACAGCCTCAGGGGAACACAATAGAATCTCATAAAGAGCCTGTTTCTGAACCTCCTTTGCTGGAGCCCAGTCAAATATCGAGCCTCCCCAAATCCAGTGCCACCGATTCATCTGCCACCAAACCTACTCCTATTGTGGAGAAGCCACAGCCGACTCCTGAGGAAACGGCGATGGAGCAAAGGCCAGAAAAGAGCCTGGATGTGTTAGCTACAGAGAAGTACACTGAGCCATCAGTCTCTCTCAGTAGCTCCATCAATGTGAAACCCAGTGTCACTGCACCAGTTGACAATGTCTCAGTTGAGCCAACTGAGGAACAGCCTGATGTTGATGTTTCTCAGTTAGAATTAAATACCCCTGTCCAAATCCCAGACAAAACAGATCATTCTCAGCTGCTCCCTCCTACCAGCTCTGTTCATTTAGAGCATCACCCTGACCCACCAGCTGTATCTAAAAGTAGTACCACTTCCCCAGAGCCGTCCCACCCTGCTCCAGACCCTGTCACAGAACTAGAGCCCTCTGGTGGCCCTGCACTCATCACTGAGACTAAAATGGAGGATCTCACAGAAGACATCTCTACATCATCAGGTGGTAACCTGCTTCATCCCTTACCTGTCTCACCATCCCTCTCGGACATCTATGCGGAGACCCCCAATGGCACAGAGCAGAACAGCAACCTGGTGCACGGCTCCAGCCAGAAGGAGTCTGTGTTCATGAGACTGAACAACCGCATCAAGGCCCTGGAGATGAATATGTCCCTCAGTGGACGCTACCTGGAGCAGCTAAGTCAGAGGTAAGGGATGAGGACACACTCTGCTGCTCTTCATGTATGAACTGCGTTGAGGGTGATATTGAAGATGTCTTCTTTCATGTTTTGATTAAAGGTATCGTAAGCAGATGGAGGAGATGCAGAAAGCTTTCAACAAAACCATCATAAAACTCCAGAACACCTCAAGAATAGCAGAGGAGCAGGTGAGCAATGAAAGGGCATGAATGAATGGCAGGCACCACATAAAGATACTTGGTTTCAGTCTGAGACCCAAATAGTCCCAAAATGATTTAATCATATTTCTACAGTGGGCTGAATTCAAAAGAGATTCGAGCTGTTGCTTCCAAGTTACAGAAGTTTTCTTCGGCTTTGGGATTAAAGCTTCTTTAATCAGTATTTTTTTATGATGGCAATGGATTAAATGTTACATGTGAAAAGGGGAACGCATGTTAAAAACCCAGAATTAATTGTCACTTGATTAGTTCAGGTGCCTGCTTTTTCTGATCATCTTTTATTTATATATATATATATATATATACATATATATATATATATTATTTATACATCTTTTATATATTTCTACATCTTGATATGAGTATACCTGTGATTCATTCAGTTTGTTGGACATGTATTTCAAAGTCATAAACTTATATACTGTCTCACAGCTGACAATGCATATCTGAGCAAAAACCAAGCCATAAGGTCAAGGAACTGCCTGCAGAGCTCAGAGACAGGAAGGCTATAAAAACCTGTGAATGCACTATAGTGAAACATTTACCAGCTTAACAGACAGATAATTCCCTTGGGAGTTTGTGGAGGGCTTAAAATTAGCTGGTGTATAGACACACGACTGCGAATGAGAGCCAACAGCTGCACGATGTGCAAATATGCAACTTTTCGCCAACATCGTGTGTGTGTGTGTGTGTGTGTGTGTGTGTGTGTGTGTGTGTGTGTGCGCGCGCGCGTGCATGCGTGCGTGCATGCGTGCGCGTGTGTGTGTTCATCATTACATTGTCATTTTCTTCCCATAGGACCTGCGTCAGACTGAGTCCATTCAGTTGCTCCAGGGCCAGCTGGAGAATGTGACTCAGCTGGTTCTCAACCTGTCAGACAGAGTGAGCCAGCTGCAGAATGAGGTAGATGCAACACTCAAGGCATAAAACCTTCATCTGTGATCAGGAGTACTTCATCCGGGGATTAAACAGAGTAAATTTAGTAAATTTTTATGGGACCACATCATTTGGATGTACTAGGGCTTTATTTCCTTTATTTAACCAGGAAGGGTCTATTATGATACAATATCTGTTCTGCTAGCGAGTTGTGTTCAAGATGGGCAGCAAAATTAGATCACATGGATTCAAATTAATGGCGACCGATTATAACATAAAAACATCAAGAATCACTAGAATGGTGCTCAGTAGATCACCTACCTCCACCGAGGATCCAAAGGTCCCCTTAAATTCAATCAAGCCTTATAGGTTAGGTACGATATCTCATCTACACAATGGTGGTAGTTACAGGTTTCTAATCTTATTTATTACCGTACAGCAGCTAAAGAAGCCCACAAGAAAACTAGTTAAATCCTTTAGATCCCAATTTTTTATTTGGATCCTCACCAAGTTGCATGTGCCCATAAATATCAGTCCCCTACATATGCCTGATTTGATTTTAAGGGGGAAAAATATCCTCTGTCCGTATCTGTGCCAAAATTTCATGGGTTGAAATCTGTTCAGTAGTTCTTTCAAAATCCTGCTGAAAAAATAATCTCCTCGGTGGGGGTAAACATGTCAAAAGGGGGAAGGGATTCGAGGTTGAGATTGACTTGCAGTTCATTCCAAGCTTGTGGAGCGTTAAAGGAGAGGGCAGATTTATCCAGCTCTAATCGGGTGGATAGCAACTTCAGGAGAATTTTATCTGATGATTTAGTGCTAGAGTTACTGGAGCAGACTAGATACTGTGATCATTTACACGGTGAAGCTTTTACATGGAAAATTAATATATGGAATCCTCTCCCCAGAGTGAATTCCATTGAGCCCTTTCATATAAGTACAGTGATATGTACAAAAACATGAACCAAATCCATTTTGTTTGTCGATTCAACTTCCAACTTAACTGTTTGAATTTTTACTTTATGATTCTTTCACCTTTTTTGTGACAGCTCATATTTCCTCTGTTTTGGTAATGGTATAATCTGTGTCCTAGGTGTCTGACAGGCAGAACTACCTGGTGCTGTCTCTGGTGTTGTGTGTGTGTCTCGGCCTGTTACTGTGTGCAAACCACTGCCGCATCTCCACGATTCCTCCAGCCACAGAACCAGAGCCCCCCATACCCAAGAGCTACACCTACTGCTGCCCTGAAAGGTGGGTGAACAACTGGACAATTTAGGGGGGGGTGTTTTTGAACACAACATGGCAAAGACAGCGGACGTGAATAAACAGAGTGGCATCTCCAAATGGACTATTAAAGCAAATGGGAAGAGGTTACAGCGCCTTGAATGGCTTCAACCCATTAATCCACTTAATTGATACAAGTATTCATCACATACGTCGCAGCTAGATCACACAGCTGTGACTCACATCTTTAGAAAGGAGCTACATGCAGTTCTTTCTCTTTTCATAACAGGCAGTTCTCTCCCTGTGATGAGACGGGCTTGAAGAGGAGTGCGTCCTATCCATTGATACACTCTGAGTCATTCCAGTTAGCCACCAACGAAGGTAGAGTTGTACTTAAGTTCTATTAGGGTAATAATACTTTAGTTTTTATCATATATCTTAAATAATAGATAATATCTAGAATTGAACTATTGTTAAAATTAAAATTCATTCTTTGGCTCACAGGCCCTGAGATGCTGCACGCTGGGGAGACACTGAGTCTTTGTCCAGCTAACAGAAAGGTGTGTAAAAACTGAATGTATCGCAGTGCAGAATAATAGTGTAAAATATACATTTGAAATACTGGTTGTAAGATATTAACATCCTTAACCCCCCCCCCACACACAGAGGAGACGTCGTAAGATGAAGCCCATTGACAAAGTGGAGACTCTGAAACCCTCCTTCCACGCTGCTTCAGAACTGAGTAATGGAGCTGTTTTGTGTAATGGTGTGCCCATCACCACCATCCCCACACCCTTTACAAAAAGATTGCTCCAGCCTCTCTTTAGAGACTCACTGTCAGAGGGAAGCTCCGAGGGATCCTCACATTCAGACGACCCCTCCTTCTGTGGCATCACCACAGCCTGCTCCCGAATCTGCGACGGCCTCCCTCAGCCCAAGACCCGGGCGGAGAAACGGGCTTTGAGACGCCGGCGTCCCAAGCCTGGCTGCGCGGTGGTGGACTTGCTTCAAGTTCCACAGAGGGACAGGAGGGAACCGTTGCCCATGTCTACCATAGAGGACATCATGAACAGGAAAACAGAGCAAAGCTCAGGGACGTTTGGAGTGAACGTTGCCCTCTCAGGTCCTGTCTGACAGAAGAGAGGAGGCGAACTTCAATAGGCTCCACTTCTCCTCACTCACTGCAAAACTCTTTCTAAAAGAGGATGAATGTTAATTTCTGTAGCCACAGGCAGCTTTAAGCTCCATGATGAGACTGTCCCTTCACTCTCACTGTTCACTTTTGTTTTCTGTTCATGTTCTCTGTTCCGCTCCTATCTGACCTTTTTGTATTTGTTATACTTCAAGTCAAAGAAATGTCTTCCCGGCTTAAGATTAAAGCTTTTCTGTTGTGTTTGAAAATGTTGTAACCATTGACCTACAATTTAACACAATGGATTCAGCAGAGGCTTATTTTCTAACACACATTCACTCACTTTGGTGAAGACATTTCTGTCTTTAAAGAATCTATCTCATTTTTCTGTCTGTTCTTTTTTGTCTCTCTTAAATCTCCTGCCAGGAAATTGCTTCTGACCTTCAAGCAAAAGCAGAAGACTTACTTTTGTCAGTTTCACCTTCAGAGTAAAAGCAGGGAAACATTGGGTAAACTATAGGGTGTTAGAGCATCAACTTCGCTGACATTCTTTTAGCAGGTCAATGATCCCCTCCTCTTAGCTTCAGGGGTGTTGTTCTGTTACTGACCCTGAGTCATGGGGGGAATAATGTTCTCCTCTCCAGTCTGAGAACACAGCATTAAGAAACTGCTTTTTATTGTTGACTTGTATTCGTCTGCTTGTATTGTTATACCAGTGCAGTGCCCGTTCAAAACATAGCTGTTTGCTTGGCCTGTGGTGATGTTGGTTGGAACTTTCTCACTGAAACTGTAACAGTGACCTGCAGTAATTGGGCCATGGTGACTTAAAATCTGCTACAGGACTCGGTCCATAGAACTGTGAAGCTGCACAGATAGCTCATCACCTGCTTATTCAAATTTCGCAGAATCCAGTTGCCATTGTTTTGGATGCACTGTTGTCATGATCAACAACGTCAGAGCACTGGTCGCCTGTTTGTGTGAATGCATCATGGGTCCAAGTCGTGCCAAATTCAAAACTGCTCTTCCTTTGGCTTGAACAATACACATGTCAAGTGTGAAGCCGATTGAGTGAATGGTGTTTGAGATATTTCTTGGATTATTGATGTAGTTCAGCAGCAGAAACAAGATATTTATTATGTAAGAGTTTGACAGTTGTAGTTACAGAATGGTACTAGAACTAGAATGGCACACAGTAGAGTGCAACATGGGGCGAACAAGTTGTCTGAACCCAAATTATTTATTTGATTTAAAACATAGTTGAAGAAAGTAATCTGTCTCGTAGTCTGCATCTCAATATCTCTTCCCAGGCCCCATCACTCCAAGTTTGGTGGAAAATCAATTCAGTAGTTTTACTTAAAACATGACCTCCAAGGCAGAGAGGTAAAAGATCTACAGACAGACACTACAAGATCAGAAATGACGGAAAGAGATTGCAACATGGCTGAAATCATGTCAGAGTTGGATGGGTCACAGAATATATGGTCACGTCTTAAGAAGCAATGGCATTCATGTGATTTCTCCTGATTGGCTGAGTGACATTTTGCATTGATTCATTTGGAAAAGGGTTCATTTTGCAATTTCTTTCAACCTTTAAAAAGGTCAAACATGTTCCAGTTGCAGCTGCGCACACAGAAGTGGACCACACACACACACACACACACACACACACACACACACACACACGCATGCATGTAGACTTTCATGTTCAAAATAACCAAAAACACAGCCTTTTCTCCAGGTCTGCAGGAAATAGTTGTAACCTTACTAATGTAAGTGTTGCTTTGTGCAGCAGGGGGCAGTGTAATCTTTATACAGCCCCACAGTGGTTTGTGATCTAACATCTCCATCAGTTTCCATGCGATGAGTCATTACTCAGGATGGAGGTAAATTACTTCAAGGGCTAACGCTGCCTTTCCACCCTCGCCAGCTCATTTGCTTTTGTCTCAGTCTGCCAGCGCTGAGGCTGCTCGTCCTTATTATCCTTGTTATCCTCTGTTATTAAATGCACTTGTTAGACTGAAACAAGGAGGAGAGACACAGTTGAACCTACTTGCTGTTGTGTAGTGCACATTTGAAGTGTTTTTAATCGTTAAAAAAAACAGAACACTCACTGAAACAGCGTTTGAACAGTGGGATCTTTTGATGTGCTGCCTCCACTGAAAGCATTTATCGAATGGCTCCAGCTGTTTCTCAAAGAGAAACACTGGATGCATTTCTATTTACTTTCTCACATGCTGTCTCTCGCTGCGGTCAGGCACGGTCAGAGTGCTGGTGGATGTGAGAAATTAGGTTAAAACCTCTTTATTCATCTGACCCGGTTGGGTAGCGGGAGCCTTTCAGAGATAAGCGTGCCTGATGCTCCCCCCCTTCCTTTCATTTTGTTAACAGAATTCCTGGGTTTCTCTTTGCCATGCCTCGTCCCAAAGATTATCTGTAAATGCAGGGCTGCAATCCTCTTTTCTCAGGCACTCTGCTTTTATCTGAGCTCTGTCATGGACTGAATATTCTCAGTGTGCTGTTGTATGTGTTTTTATGTCTGTTTACAGGTGTCTGCTTTATACTTCGTGTTGGCTTGTTCACTCTTTCACCTGACTCCTGAAAAAGGTTGAAATTAAGTCCAGTCTCTTTGCAGAATTTACTTTCTAATTTGTTTTCCACTTCACCAGTTTACCACAGGTCGAGGTCGCCTCACTCTTCACTGACCTCAAGCACCAATCAACCTGTGGTATAGCAACCGACCTTGTGAGCTATGTGTTTGTTTAGTTCATCCTCTTATTGATCTCATGACTCTTCTGAAATCTTTCAGTTACTTCTCTCGCTCATTTTTTTCTCGCCTGTGTTGATGATTTTATTCTCGATTCAGTCAAGAAAAGTAAAAAAAAAGAAGCCTTTTCTGTCTTTTCTTCCAGGTTGAAACATTATTAACTGGCACAGAAACACCATCGCCTGTGTTAGCACCACCCAGGGGCATAGTAACAGGGTAGGCAAAGTAGAACTGCCTGGGGCCACTGAAGTGAGAGCACACCCCCCCATAAAAGGCTGATTACATTCATCTGATGCAACAGTAATATTGTGAGAACCCCCCAGAATTCGATGATGGGGTTTATACAGGTGACTGCAGTGACACACGTTTGGAAACCCCCAATGAGGCCTGATGCCACTATTAAGCTTATTAGTTTGAGAGGTTATGTTGAAGACTAGAAGGTTTAAATGCAAATGTATGACAGGCCTGGGATGGTTGGGTTGGGTGAGCAGTTGCACTAAAACACCTAATGGCACGATATCAGGCAAAACCTACTTGAGCCAATTCTTCTAGTCTTCTCTTTCCGTTCTGTCTGAACTCACCTTGACACATCGGTTTGGAGACAGAAAAGACAAAACTCTACCGGAGAACCAAACATTCAGGATTCAAGACTAAGATCAACTCATTCGATTTTGGGGGTCAAAGGTTATGGTGACTTTGCAAAACATGTTTTTTGCCTTGTGAATGCAATATCTCAGGGTCAAAGGTCAAAGTCACAGTTGCCTCACAAATCATGTTTAAGGCTGTTAAACATGATTTCGTGTGTGTGTGTGTGTGTTTACATGTGGCAGTTCTCATTGGCTGAATGCTCACCTGTCCATTTAAAGGGTACACACTCTGACCTTCACTTTATTCCTTCCATCATTGCATTACCTCGTTTCTACTTTAATTCACTTTTTCTCCACACTTGGATATTGATTGACTCACACATCCAGCTATATATATTTTTTTTCCCACCGCTCTTACCCTCCTCCCCCGTCCTCCCTCTTCTTTTCTCTCACCATGCGTACTCCTCTCTGTCGGTGTGGGAGGGTGGAGTCAGCGAGGAGTGGAGGATCCCGCCGGTGTGAGCAGATGCGATTGGAGGAGAATAATCCTCTGAGTGCTTTGCTTTCTTAGATTTTTGTGAGAGGGGAGCAGGGGGGTTTCTTTGATGTTCTGCGGATACCATTCGAGGCCGCAGCATTAAACGCGGATTTACAATTTCTGTCATAGATTTCCCCCATCCCCTCCCTCCGCCTTCATCTTCACGAGTGTTATTGCTCATTTCCTTCCTCTTTTCTTCAAATTGCACCACTCATTTTTCTATGACCCAATTTGCCGCACTTGCTTCCAGTTGTCGGACATCACTACGAACACACTGGTAGTTGTGATTTAGGAGCAGTTAAATCTCCTTCATGGTCGGGCTACAGTGGCGTTCTGACAGGGGCGTTTAGCAGGGTGCTTAGTGAGAGGCTGATAAGACGTTGGCAGCCACTTGAAATCAATTCGTCCATGCCTTACCCTCAGTAAAGCCACCATTCCCTCGTGCTTGTGATTAAGCTGGGTGCATAGGGCTGGAGTAGCCATTCAAAAAGCTACTGCAGACATGCCATATTTGATAAGCCTCTGGTTGGGGATGTGCGTATATGAATAACAGTCACCTCCAGGGAAGCTGCTGCTTAATGTTTCATGGACTTATTTCCTCGGCGCTTCTCTGTCATCCGAGATTTGCTGCTGTCTGAATGCGGCACACAGAAACATGAGGTGTTCCCTGTGATCACGGCTCGGCCGACACACGAGCCCGAGGTGCGTGAGGTGTAATGATGGATATGCTTTCACATACAAACTCACGCATGCTGCATCATTCACAGGGACGAAGTGCAGACGTGGACATACAATATTGAGTCCACGTTCACTGGGTCGCGCTGTGTTCTCATGCGAAGCACACACGGGCGAGACACAGCTGAGACACACACGTACACACAGATGAAATGTGACATGTTGACTAAATACAGGATGGGATGCACACCATTCAGCCTGGAGTAAAGAATGATCATGCATGACGTGCACTTTCACAGAAGCATGTAGCCTAACCTTTCCCTCGCTGATGAATGAGTCACAACCCAGATGCCAAAGGTGACCTTACACGGTTTGTGCCTCCGACTGGAGCCAAACTCTTCCTCTGTGTCACGTTTCCAGATTGTTAAAACCAAATCTCACCGTGATCGCTATAGTTTATTAATCCCACATGTCATCCTGAATCTTTTTATATCTGTGATTTCAACTGAATTATTTGTTCACTTTTCATTAAAGATTGAGCAGCATTGTAGTAGACACACATGATCCTGACACATCTTGACTATTTGACACGTGTCACTGTGTGAATTTAAAATGTACAGTATTAATATTGTGAATTGATGGTTAAATGTAAGACACTGCTCTGCTTACATGAGAGAACCACACAATGTGAGGAAAACCTGAGTAATCAGCAAAGATAAACCCAGACTGAGCCGCTCTGTGCCAGCTACATCTGAACATCTAAACAGCTTAAAGCATGAGCAAACATTTCAGTGTGACACTGTTTAATGCTGCTGACTTCACAATTTAGTATTTTCATGCAAAGTCTAACAAACTGAGCAAATGCTGCTCAATGACAACAAATATCTAGTGATTGTGAATATTTGATGGGATATATTGACACTGACAAATGACTGATCATGACAGAAAGTTGTCTCCTCATTTATACTGCAACACAGCCCCCGTGCAGATAGTGCCAACCATCGACTCCAGCTAGTTTATGTGATGTGATAGTAGAAATAGTTTATAGTTTTTATATTGATAACTGCTTAATTATTGGGGTAACAGTGTTCACACAAGTTAACATCATATCATATACTTACAGGTGTCATTTTACCTGGGAAGGATGAGCAGATTTGATCCCCGTCTCTTTTTAAAAAAACATGAGAAATATTTTCCACGTTGAAACAAATAAGTAACTCCTTGTGTCTCCACTTCCTCCCTCTGTCCAGAAACTCAGACATTGAGGTCTCGTCATCACAAATCAGTCTCAGCTGTCAATCATGACTTCACCCCATCTTTATAGCATCAAATAACTATTGAAAACAAACCTATTATCAGAAAGATGAACACTTGATCATACATCAATGTGATAACAACTCAAACGACAAAAAACATTTTAGAAAAATGTTTACTGTTGACTTTTTTGTTTTTTTTTGTTTGGTCCATTTAAAGTACCATTTGAATTTCTATATCATCCTTCGTCGGGCACACTAAATGATGAAATACACATCAATCACACGAACCTCTAAGATGATGGTTGCAGCTGCTTCTCTCTGGCATCAGATGATGATGAACTAAATCAACTTGCTCCTGCAGATCCTCACCTGAGCAGTGCATGGCTTCCAAAGACACTGGTTTCTCCATCATGTCAAACATGATCTCACAGACTAATGAGTATATTTGGAATGTCTCCTTTTTTTATATATATCTCTCATGTAAATAATAATCTCTCCAACAGTTCTTTGACACAAACTGGCACTTTACATTAATTTACTTTGGTCTGGTTCCCGCAGCTCCAAGGTGCAATAGGGCTTCACAAATTGTCTTTCTAAATGAGGTTGCAGCTTCTTGGCTTTAAACTCACTTACCACCAAACCAGAATGTGGTCAAGTGAAAGCTGTT